ATAACACTACTCTTCTTCTTCGTTTTCCTTCTGTGTTCTTCTTCTAGATTTTCCCTTTCATGTTCTTAGGATAGGAACCCATTTCCTATCATTCTCCCTATCAAAATGCACAGAGTTCCGCTAAACGTTGGAGGAAGAGTTTTTGAAACAAACTCTTAGAAAGGCAGGGCCCAATTCCATGTTGGTGGTAATGTTGAATGAAACCTAGGATAAGGAACTCTTCATTGATCGCAACCGAGCTACAAAAAAAAAAGTGTGCGGATGGATGTACACAAAAAAAAAACTTTATAAAAACTTTATAATCACTCTGCTCTTCTTCTAGATTTTCCCTTTCATGTTCTTATGATAGGAACACCCGCTTCCTATCATTCTCCCTATCAAAATGCACAGAGTTCCGCTAAACGTTGGAGAAAGAGTTTTCGAAACAACATTAGAAACTCTTAGAAAGGCACGGCCCAATTCCATGTTGGTGGTAATGTTGAATGAAACCTGGGATTCGCAACCCAGATTGTTTTTCTGTCCTCCTCGGCCTTCTCCGAGCTGGTTACCTCAACATCCCACCCATCATTTCATTTCACGTACAGAGTTTTACCAGGATGCCCACTACTATGGCCTACTTGACCACGTTCGTGAAGCGATGTGGGGCCCATTAGATGGCAACCACCTCAAGTTGTCTTATTCCATCACTAACCCGATCAGCTGTCAATGCATTTGCCATTCGAGGTAGCCCCAACGGTGGTTGCTGTGATGCACAGGGAAACACGGTCAGTGTCTATAATGGAAGCTGGAGATACGCCCTACCATCAACCTATATCAATCAGCAGTCATGGATGTTGGTTGGGTTGATGACTGCGACATAGTAGCAGCAGTGAGAAAGAGTCCTGGCCGCGGTGTCATTAGCCTCTTTAATTCGTACAGTGAAAATTTCAAGCATCAATTTCAGGAATGTCACAATGGTGAGGGGAAACTTTACAGCCCCGAAGCGTTGATCTATTCTAATTCCAAAATTTACTCTAGTTGCAAAGGCAGCACAACATGGGAATGGTGTTTGGTATAAAATAATTGGTCAGCATGTTGATTTTTTTTATTTTTCATCTGAGGGTTGAAAACGTTATGCTGATAAGATTCAGTGGTGGGAAGGAAATAATTGTTTGTTGGCTGCTTCTCTGTCTATTAGTAATAATTGGTGCATTACTCTTGGATATGAGGAACAAGAGTGCGATCCAAACATGGTCGGCTTGACGGAATGAACACAACGACTTAGGGATCTGGGACATGGTTGGAATGACAAATAACAGTTACATCTGTGTGGTGAATAATTACGGTGGTTAGGGTTTCATCGATGTGAGGAGTCAAGCTCCTAGCTGGGTCTCCAAAACTAAGTTGGTGACTTGCAAGATACCTGAGCAATCACATTTTCCCAAGGTGTCAGTGTCAATGCATAGAGGCTACCTTTTCATTTCTGCACAAAAATCAAATTCAGAGTTTCAACAAAAAAAGAAAAAACACATAAAAAACACAAAAATAAATATTAAACATAATAATGAAAAGGGGCATAAACAACATATATCTAATTTCTTCTGCACAGCTTTGGGTCTCTTGTTGTTGGGCCTGCGAGGTGGGCGATGACCCAACATCTCCATGTGATCATTCGGAATCTCCATCTTCGATAACTCCAAACGGAATTTCACCCTTTCCACCTTATCAGATTTACTTCTTAAATTGATGTCATTCATCATCGCTGGCGAAGAAGAACAAGTGGGTTTGTTTTCATGATCATGAATCTTTAACCCTTCTTTCAGATTATTAATTACTTCAACATTAACTGAAGAACCCTCCGATAACTCTTCTCGCTTTTTCCTCAGATTTTCATGATCATGAATCTTTAACCCTTCTTTCAGATTATTAATTACTTCAACATTAACTGAAGAACCCTTCGATAACTCTTCTCGCTTTTTCCTAAGATTCCAAGGCAGATTCTTCACTGTGGCTTCTTCTTCGTTGTTACTCAAAATTGGTTCTTTCAGATTAAGCTTCAGCTTCTGCCTCACTGTGGCGATTCCATCCTCGCTGGAGCGTCGCCGTGAGGATGGGATCGCCACAGTGAGGCAGAAGCTGAAGTTTAATCTGAAAGAACCAATTTTGAGTAACAACGAAGAAGAAGCCACAGTGAAGAATCTGCCTTGGAATCTTAGGAAAAAGCGAAAAGAGTTATCGAAGGGTTCTTCAGTTAATGTTGAAGTAATTAATAATCTGAAAGAAGGGTTAAAGATTCATGATCATGAAAACAAACCCACTTGTTCTTCTTCGCCAACGATGATGAATGACATCAATTTAAGTAGTAAATCTGATAAGTGGAAAGGGTGAAATTCCGTTTGGAGTTATCGAAGATGGAGATTCAGAATGATCTCATGGAGATGTTGGGTCATCGCCCACCTAGCAGGCCCAACAACAAGAGGCCCAAAGTTGTGCAGAAGAAATTAGATGTATGTTGTTTACGCCCCTTTTCATTATTATGTTTAATATTTATTTCTGTGTTTTCTATGTGTGTTTTTTTTTTTTTTTTTGAAACTCTGAATTTGATTTTTGTGCAGAAATGAAAAGGTAGCCTCTATGCATTGACACTGACTGACACTTTGGGAAAATGTGATTGCTCAAGTATCTTGCAAGTCACCAACTTAGTTTGGAGACCCAGCTAGGAGCTTGACTCCTCACATCGATGAAACCCTAACAACCGTAATCATTCACCACACAGATGTAACTGTTATTTGTCATTCCAACCATGTCCCAGACCCCTAAGTCGTCGTGTTCATTCCACCAAGCCGATGTTTGGATCGCACTCTTTCTTCATATCCAAGAGTGTAATGCACCAATTATTACTAATAGACAGATAAGCAGCCAACAAACGATTATTTCCTTCCCACCACTGAATCTTATCAGCATAACGTTTCCAACCCTCAGATGAAAAAAAAAAAAAAAAATCAACATGCTGACCAGTTATTTTATCCCAAACACCAATCTCATATTGTGCTGCCTTTGCAACTAGAGTAAATTTTGGAATTAGAAAAGCTCAACGCTCCGGGGCTGTAAAGTTTCCCCTTCATTGTGACATTCCTGAAATTGATGCTTGAAATTTCCACTGTACGAATTAAAGAGGCTAATGACACCGCGGCTAGGACCCTTCCTCACTGCTGTTACTATGTCGTAGTCATCAACCCAACCAACATCCATGACTGTTGACTGATATAGGTTGATGATAGGGCGTATCTCCAACTTCCAATCATAGACACTTACCGTGTTTTCCTGTGCAACACAGCAACCGCCGTTTGGGCTACCTCGAATGGCAAATGCATTAACAGCTGATCGGTTAGTGATGGAATGAGACAACTTGAGGTGGTTGCCATCTAATGGGCCCCACATCGCTTCACAAACGTGGTCAAGTAGGCCATAGCAGTGGGCATCCTGGTAAAACTCTGTACGTGAAATGATGGGTGAGATGTTGAGGTAACCAGTTCGGAGAAGGCCGAGGAGGACAGCAAAACAATCTGGGTTGCGATCAATGAAGAGTTCCTTATTGTAGGTTTCATTCAACATTGCCACCAACATGGAATTGGGCCCTGCCTTTCTAAGAGTTTCTAATGTTGTTTCGAAAACTCTTCCCCCAACATTTAGCGGAACTCTGTGCATTTTGATAGGGAGAATGATAGGAAATGGGTTCCTATCTGAAGAACATGAAAGGGAAAATCAAGAAGAACACAGAAGGAAAACGAAGAAGAAGCATAGTGTTATTAGATGTTGAGCAGAGTGATTAAGTTTTTTATTTTTTGTTTTTTTATTTTATTTTTTGGTGTACATCTGCTCACATTTTTTTTGTAGTACATCAGGAAATCATTGATCTCCATATCTCTGCAGTCTGCACAATACACACCTCTGCTACACACTTCTGCACCATTACACACACCCCTACACCACTCACTAGGCTAATTCTAGACTAGTGCTATGTGCTTGTAATTTTCTCTATATTAGTCCCTTAACAATATGGAACACTAGTGTACTTTTTTCACTCCGGAATTTCTATACAAGATTGGAAGTTATACCAATTAACGAAAATTACAATTGCAAATTTGTATTTTTTTGCATCTATGTGACATTATTTCTGTTGTAAGGTAGTTCTGAAAGTTTCTCTATAACATAGAAAATAACAGTTACAAATTATTATTATTATTATTTTGGAGTGCATTACTATCACTGTCTGGGAATCATCCAACACACCCACGCTACAAACACCTCTGCACAATACAAACATAACTAGTGGATTTTATAAAACATAGCTTACAACAGAAATAATGTCACATAGATGCAAAATAATAAAATTTTGCAACTATAATTTTCATTAATTGGTATAACTTCCAATTTTGTATAGAAATTCCGGAGTGAAAAAACTACATTAGTGCTCCATGTTGTTAAGGGACTAATATAGAGAAAATTACAAGCACATATAGCACTAGGATTATCACCTTTTTCTTGTAAGGGAACGTCTCCCGTTAGAAGCATAAACCTGAAATGAAGAAAGAAAGCAACTCATTAAGATTCACATGTTAACGCTGATAATATGGCCTTTGTGTTAATCTTAAAAAGGAGATGCTAAAATAATGCCCACCTACATAGCCAGCCTTCAACTAGTCAGCTAATGTAAATTACTTATTTTCTAAAAGGAATATATCAATGGACTAAATAAAATAAAAATAAAATTTAAAAGATCTAAATAAAAGGATGACAATCTAAATAGGGAAATAAAATATTAAGAAAACACAACATGGGGAAAAACTATAGGGTAGACAGCATACTTTCCAATCACCATGTGTTTTACTAAATCCTCCATTATAGCCTCAAATATACTTTCAAGTTTCATCCCTTGACATTATTTAGTTTAAAAAGAAAAAAAAATAATCACAAGGTTAAGGAATTATAGCCAGAACTAAAATACCTATCGTGCAATGTAATCATTCAAAATAATAGGGAGGCCGATCATGGCCTCAGCAATCGTCCCTGGGCCTGCCTACAAAAGGGGAAAAACCATCAATTGCTGTCATAATGAGGTAGAAAATATAAGTAATGACTGTAAAATCAAACCTTTGTAATGATGCAATCATAAGCTCCCATGCATTCCTTCATTTTGGTAACAAATCCCTTGACCTGAATATGGGTAAAAATAAAAAAATTCAGGGGCTTCCACGGACATATACATGATTCTAAATGCTTTGTTCATCTACTTATTGATACGTTACCCACCTGAAACAAGAAATTTAATATGGAAGTTCCAAACCTGACCTCTTCTTCCTTAACTCATATGGACAGGAAAACTAATAGTTTAAATGCATTTAATCAGAGTGAAAAACTAGAGTGAGTCTGAAATATTAAATTTTGTACAAATTCATGGCAGGACTGATAACCTCTGCCCCACAAATTATAATTACAACTTTCATCATCACATCTTTAATTGTATTATGGGGGCTCACAAATCTGTTCCATTTTCTAACTTGAATTCTTTCTCTCTTAATTGGGACAATTTCTTCTAATATTCAATCGCACCATGATATTTTTTTTCTCTCAATTATGCCTCAAAAGTTCGAACATGTGATAACATGTGAGGAATCAGGTCCTATGGCTAGATACCTAGTTCATCAAGTAAAAGAACATGCAGACACTAGTACAAGTCAGTCACCATGGACTACTGACAGACTTAAAACTTGAGCATATATAGGAGCAAACACAGACAGGAAGAGAGGGAGTGCAATCGCACCCGCAAACATATATATTGTAGTTTATATGGAGTTCAGAAAGCATGAACAAGGCCCTGGAAAGATTTGAAGGCATCAATACCTGCACAGGAATCTTCCAATAAATAGAGTTTAGTTTGTTAGCAAGCTTCTTGTTGTGACCACAAATCACAAGGACCTGACCTATTGGAGCCCCAAGATTCTCATCGTTTAATAAATCTCCAAGTGCCCAAGCAGTAGCCTAATAGGACCCATACCTTCACCTCCCTCCATCAATAATACAGCAGGAAGATCCTTATCCATTCCTAATTCTCTCCTACAGCATAAATTAGAGAAGCTCAACAAAGTGAATATTAACAGAGGTAATTAAGAAAATCAAATTGCAAATCATGTAATAATTATGTAGCTTTTCTTGTGACTTAAATTTCAAAGGGGTAATTACACTTAACCTCCCTTGTATGATTGACATCCAACCAGGTCACATGGAACCACACAATCAGCATATGCAGATATATTAGCCAAAAACAAATGCATGTATAATGTTCTACGTATAACATTTCCTTGTAGAGAGAACACCGCTGAAGCAATTATATGCTGTAGTCTATGCTTGCACTCCATAAACAAACAAGTTATAAGTTGACTATATTCTGTAATGTTTGAGAAGCGAAGCCAAAAAGTAACAAAAGTTTACCAAATCAATTGTCAATGGACTGTCCAAATATTTTCATGCCAATTTCTTCACCCAACCCGGCATGGTTGCAAAAAAAAGGAGAATCCCTAAATTGCAGTTAGCCATATGGTAAGCAAGACAGTAATTATAACTAGCTAGTTGCTATCTCACTATAAAGGTATGATATAGCACTACAGAGGCAGTGAATTTTAAAATTATGTGCTGCAATTATCCATCTCCTAAATCTAACAGATAGCTGCAACTACAGAGTGACAAGAAAATGAAAACCTTGAGATCATCCTCAATCTTTGCCACTTGACCATGAATACCATCCACGATCTCCTTCAAAGGAGACATAGTCGGGTACTTGGCTTCCTCCCAAACAAACCCGGATCCATCATAAAGACTAAATTTCAGCCCAAAAAAGAAAAAGAAAAAAAACACAGCTCAAGCAAGAACACACAGAGATCACAAATTCCAACTACTGAATGAAAAAAAAAAAAAAAAAACTGGTCAAATAGAAATAAACCCGCACTCCATCCACAGTGAAACTCTCTCCAGTTCCTCAATCTGAAAAACTTTTCCTCAAAATCGAAAAAAGAAAAAGAAAAAAGCAATTGAAAAAATCAAAATAAATTTAAATTCTAAGAATGAACAAGGATTACCTTTCACAAATCAAAAAGGTTTTCAGAATGCAAAAAAGATTTCATAACAAAAATCGGCAATGTCGTCTCCTCTACAACTTCAGTGAACAGCGTTGACAACAACAGCAACCACAACCTTGACCTGATGACAAACTTCTATCCCTCTTTCAGGCTTTCACCTCCACACCTCGTCAGGTGTTACGATGATTGTTTGTTGAGATATATAGTCCCACGTTGATTAGATGGGCAACTAATATGGTCTTTATAAGGCCTTGGGCATTCTCATCCTTTGAGCTAGCTTTTGGGATGGTGTATCCCAAGGTTGGACCTGTGCAATTTCCATGCTTCTTGATTAGATGGCCAACTAATATGGCTTTTATAAGGCCTTGGACACTCTCACCCTTTGAGCTAGCTTTTGGGTGGTGTATCCCAAGATTATTTACAATGATCCACTCGGCCCACAACAATGAAAGCGAAAAAAAAAAAAAAAAAAAGAGGGTTTCAGGGATAGAGAGATAGATATAGCTGAGGGGAAACGAAGGCTACAGAAAAAAAAAATTAATGAACGTTGAGAGAGACAAATGAACCTCGAGAGAGATAGAGCGTACTTGAAAGTTGAAATAGTTGAAATGAACGTTCAGAGAGACAAACGAACGTTGAGAGTGTCAGAGAGCGCAGCGGAAACGACCGTTGAACAAGAGAATGGCCATATTCTAATTCAGATTTGAGGGCAATTTTGTAAATTCAATTCATATTCTTAGTAATATTTTATCATCAATTAAATATAATATTATAAAAAATCATCCAATATTTTTGAAAATTATTCGACCTATCAAATATATTTTCATAACTTATTCAAAAAGCAAAATTTTTCACCATATTCCTCAATAAAAAAAAATATCCCATCTACAAAACACTCAGTTAAATTGTGACTGCGTGGGGCTTATCGTATAAAGTGAAATACATGAGGAAAACGTTTTATTTTGGATTAAAGGGTGAAAATAAAATTTGCTGTTTAAATAATGTGGTAAATTAACGATAATTTTGTAATTTTAGCATCATTTTTTTTTTTTTAGAAATTTTAGCATCATTTTAACAAATGTGGTTAAGCCATTTGTTAAATAAAGCGAGTGTGACTGCAGACCGCATTTTTGGTAGTGACATATGTAAACAAATCGTGATCATATTGCAATAAACCATACTATATATGAATTTTGATTCTTTGATAAATAAAGCGTTAAATAACTTGACATGTCATCGTGAAGGATTTGATTCCTTCTAAAGTCGCTTCTTTTGAGTTGATTACTTCATTGATTAATTTACTATTTCGGAAGATTAATTAAGAAAATCTCAAACTAATTGAACTTATCGGTAATGGGGTTGGGGAAACCTACCAGCAACCTACAACGCCTTTATATAAAATGCTATATATATTCACAATCCATAAACTCAAAACTCACACTCACGCAGAGCAAAGCAATTTGGTATTTTCTTCCTCTCACAATTCCTTGCTTTAGTCTTTTCTATCATCATGGGTATTTTCACTTATGAAGACGAGCGCGTTTCTTCCAACGCTCCTGCAAGACTATACAAAGCCATAGTCTTGGATTCTAGCAATGTCTTCCCAAAAGTTTTACCAGACTTTATTAAGAGTGTTGAAATCATTGAAGGAGATGGAGGGCCAGGATCCATTAAGAAGCTCACTTTTGCTGAAGGTAAATTAAGTTTAACTATGTATGAAATATTTAGTATTAGAGATATTAATATAAAATCATTAATGTATTCATCCCTTACCAGCTTAACTTATTGGGTTGAAGCATTACATGATATTAGAGTTTGTCATCATGTATGAATAGGATATGTGAAGCAAAAGGTAGATGCGGTTGATGCAGAAAACTACGTGTACCACTACAGCGTAATTGAAGGCCATGCTTGGCCACACACATTGGAGAACATCTATTTTGAGCTCAAAATGGTGGAAAGCCCTGATGGTGGATGCATCATTAAATCCATTACCAAATACTACACCAAAGGCGAAGCGCAGCTCCCAGAAGAGTTTCTTAAGGCTAATAGGGAAAGAATTGCTAGGTTCACGAAGGCTATTGATGATTATCTTTTTGCTAATCCTGATTACAACTAAAAAACACAACCTATTTAGTTTTCGATGTTATCACATGTTTCTTAAGCGTTCTCAACTATCATGTTGCTTTAATTACTTGCCATTAATAAACATTTGAAATTGAGGGAGTGGTTGTTCGGGATGGAATAAACTAAGAGAATAAGAACTTTTGCTATAACAAATTTCACTCAAAAATAAAATATTATACCACTAATTTCTATTTGTATTTCTTACAAATCTCTCCTCTATTTTTCTCACAAGTGTTTCGACACTTTATTCACACTTTTATACAGTTTCTTTCATTTCACTCATATATCTAAATGCTTAGCATACAACACACACACACATATATATATACATGGAAGAGTTCAACTTGAACTTGACAACCTATTACAACTACTAGTCTCCATCTTTTACTATTCTTGCAACTTTGTAGTCTTCAAATTGAATTTGACAACTTATAATAGTCACACACTAAGTACAACTCATAGTGATATGATAAGATTTCCAATTCATCATGGCTTGCAATGGATAGAATTCAAGAAAGATTGGGATTCCAAATTCTTCTAGAATCTTCAAGCTTCTCTAAGTTTTCACATGCTTCCATGAGTTTCTACAAGCGTCCATAAATATCCTGCAATATGACATTCATATATATATATATATATATATATATATATAAATGACTTAAAAATCTATTTATAGGTGATAGATTAGGGTATAGGAGATATTTGAGCAATAAAGTGATGTTTAAGGAATTCTAAATAAGAGGTCAAAGAGGCAGAAAGGGAAGAAAAATAAAGAATGTTTAATTCTTAATAAAGAATTCACAAGTAATTATTCAAGTCAAACCAAAATTAGATAAAAGCCAGTATTTTGTCTCTTCCCATCTTTTCATAGTCAAAATACCATTTATTCTTTATGCCCTACGTGGTTTTGGAAGGAAATAGATATAAGAAGAAAGATTTTGCAGAAGACTAAGCACAATTTATCATGTCACAAATAGATATGTACAAAAAAAAAAGTTGATTAGTGGAGGTTTTTTATTAACCTCCACTAATTGATTTAATTTTTAGCAGGTTTTAAACCTCCACAATTCAATATTATATTTTGCTATTTTAAATTGTTTGGATATATATATAATATTTTTTTATAATTTATATTTACTTTCTACGTATTATGAAACAGAACGAAGAGTTTTAAAAAATTTCTATTTCTATTTTGGGATAGGATATTATGACACCCAAGTTATGTTACATTTAATATTTTATATTTATTTCTACCTTTGTATGGTTATGATTTCCCATATTTAATACTTTCACTTTAAATTTGGGAAATCATGACCATACAAAGATGGAAATAAATATAACCGTTGGATCAACATAAGCGATCTAACAGTGAGATTGACTGGGTGTCACGTGGGTGTAACATAACTTGGGTGTCACAATATCCTATCCCTTCTGTTTTTACAAAAAAAAATTGTTATAACCCTGACACCCTCTCTCGTTTATACGAATCTAAGCACTAATTCTCCACTGAGCCGCTACAACATTTCCTCCTCTTATTCAGACCTTAGCATTCCCTACTTTAGTTCGCTATCAGATTTCTCTCGATGAAGAGCTTCATTCTCCTATGCTTCGAAACCAGAGTTATTGGATCGATTATGGTAACTCACTTAGCTTCAATTTCTCATTATGTTTACTATTTGGCTTTTGAATTTTACATCTCTTCTTTTTAGATTCAAGTTTTTCAAATTCATGTTTCAAATTCAAAATTGCTTCAACCTGCTCCTTGCTCTTCTCACCTTCGCTGATTTCAATTCTTAACTTGTGTGAGTTCTCCTTTAATTGATTTCCTTTGCTTTGTTGTTTAATTTATGGTTTTATTGTTTTTTATCAGATCAATGTTATTTGAACCGATTATATTTACTCTTCTCACCATCGTTGTAGTGCTTTCACTCTTTGTTCATAATAAGAATATGTTGTGGCCATCGTGGTGGGCCTCACACTCTATTACCCTTCTTCTTTTTGACCTTTTTGTTGTGTATGTAATGTTGTGTTGATAAATATTTATCTATCTAGTTGTTATCCGAGAATACTATGAATAGGAACTTTTGTTTCTGATTTTGTGTGTTCTTTTAGGTCAATTTGATCCGGGGTAGTGGGGGAAGATATTCTAGAAAATGGAAATTGCTATTTTTTATTTGTTCGTTTTGGCACTGCTGCACTAGCTAATTTGGCAAGGGAACTTTCAAAGGCAAAAATGAATGTCAGAGAATGTATCTATTTTCCTTTTAATTAGAGATGGATTGGTTGGAACAAGAAAGCTGTTTAACAGAAATTGGAAAATGGCAATAATATGCCAATCATAGACTATGAATCTGTTTGAATCTTCTAAACAAAAGCCAAGTAGGCGAACAAGATTTTTGTGTTGGATCATTCCCATTGTGTTCAGTCCAGCTCTAAGTTGTTTTTCTTCTCGTAATTGAACTTGAAGTTCCTTGACAGCTATAAAAGTTGAATCGGGGAATTCATCTTTGTAAACAATGCTAAAACCACCTTCCCCAATTTAGGATTTTACCTGTGCATGCCGTGTTTTCATTGAGTATTCATGCCGTGTTTTCATTGAGTATTCATGGCGTGTGCAGTATGTAATCTAGGATTTTAAATTTTGATTTTTAGGGCTGCTGCACATCTATTTTGATTATGAACTTTGACTTTAGAGCTTGTTATGAATATATTGTCGTTCTTTATTAGTTAAGATATTAATTTTTTAATTCTATCTAGGCAACTAAGTGTGTGAAATTTGTTTTGTAGAGTTGCTTCAAGTGAACCAAGGAAAACTGAAGTTATTGAAAAAGAAATTATTAATATTCACTTGTAAAATCAGTGTTATTTTTATATTTTAAGACTTGGACTGAAAAAAGAAAGAAAGAAGAGACTTGTACAAAATTTAGTATTTTTACGTGTATCTAGTATATGATAAGTAGTTCTACCTGTTACTGTGAAAATGGTTGCTAAGCTGTTTCTTCACTGCAAAGTCATCTGAATTTTGTTGCCTTTTTGGCTCGTTAGTGCAAATTATAATGCTTTTTTCACTGCTATATATAGATGTGTAAATATTCTTTTTAATTTCTTTTTGGGGTTGTTGGATAGATTGTTTGAGGAATGCTTTCAACGTAGATGGTATCACACTACAGCTTGCTATATACTTGTAAGAATAACTTGCCTTTTTCAGTAGGTCTCTTTATATGTAGAAAAATGATTCTAGCTTTCTTATATTTATTTTCTCTTTCTTATATCAGTCTTATCCTATTAATATGCTGTATCAGGTATGGCTGACATTATTGGAAGGAGATTTGGTTGCAAAAAGATACCTTACAATAAAAACAAGTCCTATGCTGGTTCAATTGCATTGGCATCCGCTGGATTCTTAGCTTCTATTGGGTAACCTTCTGTGGACTTGTGTTGCTTTATTTTACTTTTGGAATAAGAGCAGCTAAGATTGATGTTTATATATTTTTTTTGTGACATAGATAACACCCCCCTCGCCTTTTCCTCGTTTCCTTTGTATTAAAGTTATCTTATGATATTTATACTTGACATAGCAGGGTTATGGTCCTTTTGAATTGATATGTTGCATTTCTCTAGGCACTACAATATGAGTTGGATATACAATTTTAATTTAGGTTGCTCATCTGCATTTTTTCAGTATATTTTGTTTTGTGATATGTACTTAACCTTACTAGATATGGAAGTGGTTTTTTCCCAAGGAGGCTGTGTAACTGGGTTTCTCAATTTTCTGTTTTTGTTTCAGCTTAGGTACTGGATAATGCAGTGTGGGTTATGTACCTGACGCTTCCAATTATAAAGAAGAAGAATCTCTATGCAGATTCCTTTTCAGGCCTCTCATTTAGTTATTATGATTTCCTTAAGGTAAGTTTTTGTAAGTAGCCTATAACCCTTGAACTCAATGGAGCTGGTAGTTGGCATCAGTTATTTAATTCATTTCAGGAAAAGCTAAAGAAGATTTTGTTATTTTATCCCTTCTTTATTAACTCTTGTTTTGTTCTGAATTATAGACCCACGTTTAGGAGAATTATCAGAAATGGGTCAACAGAAATGTTCTCAGGGTTGCCATATATTTATTCTCTCTTGAACTGCTTGATCTTCTTATGGTATGGTACGCCTTTGATAGCACCTGATAATCTGTTGGTTACAAGTGTTAATTCAGTTGGAGCAGCCTTTTAGCTTGTGTACATAATCCTCTTCTTGATGTATGCTGAGAAAGCAAAAAAGGTTATTCTTCTGATACTATTGGAAACTTATTATAGTATGATAATTGCCCAAAACACATTGATTCATGTCTAAGCTCTGCTACTCTGAACTTCCATTTGATAGGTGAGAATGCTTAGATTGATGCTGGTAGTTTTGGGCTTATTTGTGATCATACTAGTGGGAAGCATGCAAATAGCTGACAGTTCAATGCGCCGGATGTTTGTGGGTTCTTGAGTTGTGCTTCTCTCATTTCAATGTTCGCCTCTCCTTTGTTCATAATTGTAAGTTTGTCATTTCCTAAATAAAGGACAAAGGGAAAACCCCGGTACACAAGGTTTCCTAGACATGCGAGGGAAAGGATGAGGGTTGATTGTACACAGCCTTACCTTTTCATTTTTTGCAAAGATGTTGTTTCCCTGACTTGAACCTGTGACTTCCGGTCACAAGAAACAACATTACTACTGCTCCAAGGCTTGCCCTCTGTCATTTCCTAAATATCCATCCAATATTGAGTTATTCTAGTTTCTACATTTTTTGGTTTAATGTCTAATTCTACACTTATTGTGAAAGACTCATCTTCACAACTAAACTTTGCTTTAATATCTAATTTGTTTGCTCATGCATGATCTTTAGTTCACGTTGGCATGCATCAAAATGGGGAGAAATGAACTAGCTCAAAAAGCAGTTGCTTTGGCTGAGAAAAGGCTACAAGTTGATTCTTGGCTTGAATATTGACACCCGAAC